TTCCTCCACCATCACCTTCACCCATCCACCATAACCGGTCTCCTTGCACCTTCTTCCTCCTCCGTCCTCGTCCGTCGCTCGAAGGTCGTAAGTAACGAAGGCGCCGAGGGGCGCTAGGAACACTAGATAGGACGATAGGGTACGCTAATGAGTGAGATTGGTTAGGGACTTGAGGCTTCTTCCTTCGTCTCTCTCTCCCTCTCTCTCTCCCCCTCTCTCTCTCTCACTCTCCCTCGCTCTCTCCCTCCTCCTCTCGCTCTCTCTCTTTCCTCCTCTCTCTCTCTCTCCTCTCTCTTTCCCTCACCTTCCCTCCCTCTTCGTCTCTCTCTCTCTCTCTTCCTTTATTCTCTCCCCTAAAACCCTCATCTCCTCCACCCTCCCCTCGTCCTTGTTGGCACATGACTAACCTCTTTTCCCTCACTTGCTACATTGCTAGGGAACGAACGGTAAACAAACTCGGTCTTCACTTGGTGGAGTAGGGCAAGGGGAGGGCTGCCGGTCCCTTGTGCCACCAAAAAGGAAAAAGAGGGTCACTTGAGAAAAGTGAAAGGGGCGGGATCCGGGAGAAAAGCGGAAGATTGAGAGCTTGGAAAAGGTCTGTTGACTCAACCATTTCCCCCACTGCATGACTAAGGAGGATGCATGGCTTTATTGCGAAGGGAAGGGAAAAGTTGAAGGAACCTTGGGAAGGAAAGGGACTTAGGCTTGCGGGAAGGGCAATGCGTTGACCCCAATTGGGGGATTGGATCGGTCTTTGCTTGTGTGGGTTTGTGCAGGTGAGTAGCTTGGGATGGTTTGAGCGGGATCGGAACGGGAAGACCGCGGGCTTGGCATAGACCTTGAAACTGGAGGACCTTGGCATGGGATGCTTGGACAAAAGGGGCGAGGAAAAAGTATTGTGGCCTGGGATGATGGATGTGTGCGTCTTGACTCTTTGCATGCGATGTGGAAGCCCGGAAAGACTAAGGGCTAGCGACGGATATGTGAGTGTAATGCGTGTGTCGAGCAAAAAATAGGGGCTAGGGGATGGACGGCGTCGCCACACCCCGATGATGCCATAAGAGGATGCTGTGCCTAGAGAAAAGGTGTGTGGCCCAAGGATGACGCTTGGCCTATGCACGAAAAGAAGAAAAGTTCTCAATAAACCCCCTGGACCGCATGCGTATTGGAAGGAGCAATTGCCTGGCCACACTTAAATGAATCGAGAAAACGCCACGAGTGACCAATGAGCTACCATCTAACGCGAGAGCGGAGCTACATCCCCCAATGTAAAGCCCTCTCGTAAACGGTCCAACCCCACCCATCTCATAGCACTAGGTGGGGGTGCCCCTGAGACGAACGGCCCGCGCCCTGAGCGTGAGCGTGGGCGGGTCGAGCCAAATGGGACCCGCAGTGGGGTCGACTCAGGCTCGAAAGTCTATCAGGGTACGGCCCTACACCGGGTGTAAGGCTCGTTGCATGCGAGGATAAATAATGTGCAGGGGCTGACAGGTTCGACGTTGACTTGGGGTACGGGGGTGGGCCGGATTGCACACCAACCAGATATTGAGGAACGTCGACACAAAGTGACTACTCAATAGGGATACAGGGAAAGGGTTGGATTCCGGTAACTGTTCGTGGTGGCATTAATCAAATAAACTGCCATCCAACATACATTTCTGCAGGGAGCATTATTTTTATTTTTTTGATTATTTAGTTGTTACGGGCTTGACTAACAACTGACAGACAGCTGTTGATAGAGTAGTATATTCTTTGCTGCATTGCAATTTGTATTAGAGTAATCTAAAAATAAATTTAATATTCCCTGTAGGATCTGACACTGGGTGACACCTAACCACCTAACTGTTTCTGTCCAGGCCGACCGAAGTTAGTTGTGTATCATAATCGGTTGTGTGTCATGCTGAGGTAGGATTCAGTGTGGATTCTAGTTTACATCACACACACTGTAGCTCATGAATGATGCAAGCACTAGTGAGGAGGAGTTGTTAGTGGACGACCGTAGGACTACTCGTAGAACTGCTCTCAGTCGACCTTTGACTTTCCTAGAGTTAGGTCCAGGAGACGAGAGGAGACTGCGGAGAGAGGCTAGAGAGAAAACAACGACAAGAAGAGCGAGGGTGGCTGAGATCAGTGCCAGGTCTAGGATTACAGCTAGCACCAGTACAACCATGGCTACTTCCTCTACCATGTCGCAGGCCTTTTTACAGGCCACTTCGTCAGGAGTCAGTCAGAGTGGTTCTCGGGCTTCCATTAGCCAGAGTGTTGGCTTGCAAGTCAGCCAGCAGGCTCAACTCACGACGGAGGATTATGAGATCCTCCAAGCTTAAGAACTTCAGGATGAGTTGCAGTGCCAGTTGGATGAAGCAGCTGAGAGAAGAAGAAGAACAATAATGAGAAAAGCTAGACTAGGTAGTAGATTGCAGGAACTAGGCAAGATGGAAGCACTAGATGAGTCCACATTATATCCCGCTATGGAAGCACTGCGGAATTCGCTCCTGTGTGTGGCGGAGACCCAGGTTGTTCAACAGGAAATGTTGGCTGAACTAGTGGCAGGCCAGAAACGAATTCTGGCTGCATTACAGGCTCCTCGTGCAGTGATGAGGCAGCCTCAGTTTGCTGTAGCTCCCCCTTCGGTTGCGGGTCCATCAGTGACGTCGTCGCTGGTAGGGCCGTCATTCTCACCTATGTTTGGCATGGCCCCTCCAGGTGGTTATGTGGCGACTAGTGGTCCGGTCCTAGAGTGTCAGCCGTACCATCGACGACAGTGGTTGCCACAGTCCCACTGTCAAGCCAGACCCAGGATAGTGCGCAACAACCTGTTTCCGTGGCTATGCAGCCACTGCAACCATCTCCTGGGCCAATGCAGCCTATGAAGTGGATACCCAAAATACCCTTGCTGAGTCCTAAGCCTTTCTCTGGTGACAGGAAGAAGGATGAGGACTTGGATACCTGGGTGAGGACGGTGCCCACCTATGTGAGGCACAAACTTACCAGGTCGGAGCAAGAAGTTGTAGTAGTTGCCTCCTTCCTAGAGGGGTCAGCAGCCCGCTGGTTGAATGTCCTAGTGCAGCAGTAGGGCTACGATAAGAACTTCGATGCCTGGGCCCAGGCCCAGACATTGGAAGAGTTCGTACGGTCCGTGTACAATAGGTTGTGTGACCCTCAAGGGGCACAAAAGGCCACGAACGCAATCGATAGTCTTTGTGCCAGAAGGTACAAGAATGTTAGAGAGCTCACATATACCGTAGAACGTCTGCTCGTGGTACCTGGTGTGCACTATGACCAGCAGGTACTCCTCACGGATTACCTTAGATGTCTACCTTCAGAGGTTAGGACAAAGCTGGTAGACGAGACCTATGTCAAACAACACAACTTCGCTTCCTTCAGCAAGAAGGCCTTAGACATAGAGGCAAAGTTGGGATCAAGTCGGGATCTGCGCATCAGAGTCAGGGAGATGGTAGGAAGAAGAGACTACCCCAGGACTGGAAGAAGAAAGGTCAACTTATGTTCGTCGACCACGATGGTCGGGCAACAGAAATTGACGACTTCCCAGACCTTGGGGAGGAGACAGAGCACGATGGGGCCAGCGAGACTTCGGATGGGGGAGTCGTGGCACCTATCAAAGAAAAGGCTAGGGGGACCGAGAAAAAGAAGGTAGGCCGGTCTACGGGTCAGGGCGACCAAGGAACACCCGCATGGGTGAAACTTGGCTTAGAGTATGTGTGGAGGGACTGAGTCGCTAGGGGTATGTGCATGAATTGTGGCAACTTTGGCCACACGTCCCGAACATGCAGAGGCAAGAAAGTCCTAACGAGGGTACCCTCACCAACGGTGGTGGGACTATCATCGAACCCTGGCAGTGCTTCTGCGAGCACTTTACAGGGAAACACCTCGGGCCAGTAGGAGTTTTAGCCTCTCTTACTCGCGCTGAAGTGGTAATGTTACCTTCCCCACTTCAGGCGTTGGCCAGGGCTAGTGACCCACATATCGCCCCGTAGACACATTCAGACCCACCGACGCTCTGTTCGAGAGATGTGTCTGAGGCCCTAGAAGAGCTAGAGATTGAGTAGTCAGGGAAGGACCCCAGAGACTCTTGGGCGATGATTAGTAGAGGTCCAAAGGGTGAACATTTCGTGGTAGAGGTTGATGTAGGTGGCCGCAAAGTTGGCGCCTTCGCAGACATAGGCTCTACACGAAACTTCATCAGTCGTGCTTGTGTGGATAGACTGCGCTTAGGGGACCAAGTGCAGCGACTTAGCAGAGTTGTAGCTTTTACGCTAGCGAACAAGCACCAAATGATTGTTAAAGACTATGTCAAGGACGTAGTCTGTTCCTTTTCTTATGGAGGAGGGGAAGTGAGACTTGAAATCTCATTCCTCGTCAGCGACGAACTGCCCTTCGATTTGCTACTAGGCATGTACTATCTCGAGGTAGCGCAACCTCAGTTTGATTGTGATAGGAAGGTGTTGATACACAAGTTGCCAAATGGTAGGATCGTTAGACTACAAAAGTATAAGGCTAGCAATCGAGTGGAGAACTACGGCTGCATGTGTGCTTCCTCTTTCTATAACTACTACTAGCAGAATCGCGAGGAAGGCATGTATCTAGTTTTTGTCTCTGAGAAAAGGTAGGCCGTTAAAACACCCCCAAAGATAGAATCAGTCGTCGCAACATATTCATACCTTTTTGAGGAGCCCACAGACGTGGTAGAAAGGGTGGTGTTCCATGGAATAGTGGTTGTTCTAGGTAGTAAGGTACCTAGAGGACAAATCTATAGGATGTCTCCTGCGGAGTTGGATGAGCTCCGCCGCCAGCTCAAGGAGCTCACAGAAAAGGGATGGATTCGGCCTAGTACCTCCCCTTACGGTGCGCCAGTCTTATTTGTCCCAAAGAAGGGAGGTACCCTAAGGGTGTGCATTGACTATAGGGGCCTCAATGCCATCACCATTAAGAACGCGGAGCCCCTACCCCGCATCAACGACGTTTTGGATAAAGTGCAGGGATGCCGGTACTTCACCAAGATAGATCTGAAGTCCGGATACCATCAAGTTGCCATTATACTTGAGGACCAGCACAAAACCGCATTTCAGACCAGGTAGGGTCTGTACGAGTTTATGGTGAGCACCTGGTACGTTCTAGCATGCAATGAACAGGATATTTCATGATTACTTAGACAAGTTTATCGTCTTGTACCTTGACAATATTCTTATCTTTAGTAGGACTATAAAGGAGCACGTTGAGCACTTGAAAATAGTGCTAGGTCTCCTAAGACGGCACCAGTACAAGGTTAACTTGGAGAAATGCGAGTTCGGTCGCACCAAGATCTTGTACTTGGGTCATGAAATCTCAGCAGAGGGATTGAGGCCGGATGATGCTGAGGTGGCCAGCATACGTGACCGGGCCAGACCTCAGACTGTTATCGAGGTCAGATCATTTTTGGGGATGACGGGCTACTATCGTCCGTTCGTAAAGAACTATAGTACTATAGTTTCCCGATTAACAAATCTAACTGGACTTGACACCCCTTGGGAGTGGATTGAAGAGCATGAGGCGGGCTTCAAGAAACTGAAGTACGCTCTGACTCCCTATGAAGTCCTCAAACTTCCTGATCCTGATAAACCTTTTGTTGTGACCACAGACGCCAGCCAATATGGCATAGGCGCGATCCTTGCGCAAAAGGAGGGGCCAAAGTTGAGACCGATTGAGTATATGAGTAAAAAGATGCCATCTCAGAAACTAGCTAGGTCTACTTATGAACGTGAGTTCTATGCCTTGTACCGAGCGCTGGTCCACTGGAGACACTATCTCCTTGGCAGGTTTTTCTATGTAAGATATGACCATGAGACCTTGCGCTGGATCAAAACATAACCGGTACTCTCATACACACTCAAGAGATGGATACAGGTGATAGACATGTATGACTATCAACTTGATCCTATCAAGGGAGAGTACAACAAGGTAGTTGATGCACTTTCACGTCGGGCAGATTACCTGGCCGCATTATTGACTGAATTCGACATATCTAATGATCTAACTCGATCTTTGGTGAAGGCCTACCAGCAAAATGCAGTTATGTCTGAGATCATCTGTAAGTTCAAAGAGAAATATAAGGTAACTTCTGACGAATTTACGATGGTGGATGGCTTGCTGTTTCTTGAAAAGGCAAGGAATAAAAGATTGTGTGTTCCCAGTAGTGAGTCTTTGCGTAGTTTATTTTTAGGGGAATGTCACGATGCAACTGGTCGTTTCGGTTTTAGGAAAACTTCAGCTAACTTAGTACAAAAATGCTAGTGGCCTTCTATGATGGAAGATGCCAAGAAGTATGTTGAAACCCGTCAGGTCTGTCAACTTGACAAACCTAGAACTCAGGCTCCGCTTGGGCTCATCAAGCCCTTGCCGATTCCTGAAGGTCCTGGTCAGAGTGTCTCCATGGACTTCATGGATACTCTTGTGACCAGCAGGTCTGGAAAAAGACGCATCTTCGTTATAGTAGACCGCTTTTCTAAGTATGCAAGACTGATCGCTATGCCTGAGACTGCTAAAACCAACTATGTCATCTGATTGTTCATGGACAACTGGGTACGGGAGGGATGTTCGTTTTACGAGCGAACTGTGGTACAACACTGCCCAACAGATGGGAACCAGACTGCAAATGACATCAGGGAATCACCCTGAGTCAAATGTACAGGCGGAACAGGTGAACAAAGTAGTGCAACATCTACTAAGGCACTACATTAAGCCAAGCCAGGATGGCAAGGACGAGAAACTACCGCTCGTCGCTAGCCTGTACAACAATGAAGTACATAGTACTACTCGCATGACTCCCAACCAACTGCATCTTGGTTGGAAGCCCCGTTCCGCCCTCGATTTCCTACCACTTGAAAAACAGGCTACTGCAACACTTGGTAGCATAAAATTTGCTATCACATACGAACAGATGTTACAGCAGGTCGTTGAGCACATGAGGAAATCTCAGGATGCTATGATTGCATCTGATAATAAACATAGACGGCCTTCTAACATTCAAGTAGGGGAAAGGGTCTAGGTAAAGTCATCAGAATTGGGACAGGAAATGGGAATATCTAGGAAACTAATGCCACAATATTTCGGTCCCTGGGAGGTCCTAGACATGGTGGGGGAACAGGTGCATGGACGTTCTTATGTGATTCGCATCCCACCTCATCTACGGACACACCCTGTTTTTCACGCATCGAAGCTGGCACCTTTCGCAAAAACTGCGAAGTTTCCCTCCAAACGGTCAATGCTGCCCCCAACCATGGATGGCGAAGTGGACATCGACGAAATCGTGGAGCATCGTCTGATGCCTGTTCCTCGACCACCGGGCAGAGGCCACCCTCCTAAGCCAAAAGTGCAATACCGGGTCAGATTCAGACATCATCTGGATCCCAGCGAAGATCGGTGGTTCACCCAAGAAGAGCTCATGACAACTGCACCTCAAGTCATTGCAGGCTATGAAAAAGATATCAAAGGGAAGATGCTTGCAGAATAGAAGACTTCCCAGAGTACTATCGAAGTACAGGAGGAGGGAATGCGAGGATCTGGGTCTTCGGCAAGCCTTAGGGCCCCCTGTTGCATCCGTGCCCGCCCTAAGTGAAGGCGGGCCTAACATATTACGAGAGGCCCTCAGCTGTCAATTTCGTATTTGGGGTCCAGGTAGTTTCGTCGCGCCAGTTGGTTGAGGAAAACACAGGCCAAGAAGAAAGGAAATTCGACTGCCTTCCAGGCTCTTCCGAAAGCACAGGCCCTGGACGAGATTCGCAGCCTCATACACAAACAATTGGGAGGCCCAACCGAACGAGGCCTAGTAGCTGCACCTGAGGCGCAACATCCTGGGGCCTACCGGAAGCTTCTGGGCCCAGGCCCAGGCCAGCCAGGCTGCGAAGGCAGGCCAGCTCTTTCCATATAGGGAAGAGCTCGCTGCCTGGCCAGGCATTCGGGCACTCGCATGCTGGCGGCAACGCTGCTGGAGGTGAAGCTCGTGGGCTGCTGCTAGCGCTGAGTGGCGAGGTGCAAGCACGGGCGGTCGTGCAGAGAGCAGGGCGCTGCTGAGGGCAGCGCCATGGCCCAGCCTCCATAGCTGGCGGGCTTGGATGTATAGTGAGGCGCAGGGGTGGTCTTTGGGTGTACAAAGGGAAGACGTGGGAGAGAGACAAGGGAGAGAGAAAGAGAAGGATGATGATGATGATGATGATGATGTGAGGGCACATGCCTGGTATTGGCGATGGTCTGCATGGGTGACATCTTCAAGTACTTCGGAGGCTGCTGACGTCAACAGTTGCATTGTCAATTAGTAGGCTAGTTGTAGCTGTGTAGGGAGTAGGCTGGGCGCCGAGCGCCAAGTAGGGAGATAGAGACTGGATACATATGTTGGTGGTGGCGAGAGCAAACTCTCATTGACATTGACTTTCAGTGCCACGATTCTCCATTGGTGTTACATCGGTGCAATGTTGCTTTCTGAGCACTGTGATACGATTTGGCTTTCAATGTGATTGTGCAATCTGAATATTGTCATCTCGCTTCTGTTCATTTTCCTTACAATTTGGTATCGGAGCGGGTTCGAACTGCGCTCATTGGTTCTTCGCAATAGCTGTTCGGTGCTTCGCATGAGGTGTGGGGCAGTGATAAGGCTTGGGCGTTGAACGGTAGGCGACCCAGGGTCGTGTGGGGGCGCCAAGAAGCTATGTGGTGACATTAGGATTGTATGCTGGATAATGAGAGCTCGCTGATGTGGCATTTAAGCCGAGGTGGAACTACATTCTTCTGTTGGTTGTGCCGAGGCAAAGACCGGTGATCATAAATGCACATTAGGTTGCCGGTGAGAAATCTGTGGTTGGGGGCAAGATTATGAGGTACGTAGCTTCCTTCCTTATCTATCCTCTTTTTGTGTTTTTTTTGTTTTCTTTTTTCCTAGAAACAACCCGAGTGCATGCTAGGGGTGTTGATAAGGGCAGACACCACTAGCATGCTCGGGGAGGCTCCATCTATTGGTGGGGAGCGACACCTGCTGGAAACCGGGTCCAGCGAGGGGTAGTTTTTAAACAAACAGGAGTTATGTAACCTTGCCACGTGTCCATCCTACTATAAACATGAGTGATAACCTGAATCGTCACGCAGGCACACATCATTAATCCGATGAGCAACATTGATTGCCCTCAACTGAGGGGATTAACTGGCCATCGTAGTGTAACGTCATATCCCTAGTCTGAATCCCTCATCATTTACAAAATCGCTCTTGCAGCACCCGGGGAGGAGGGGCATTCAGAATAGGGGGCTAGAAAGTCAATTATAGCAAAACCTTGGACAAATACCCTCTTCATTGCTTCTTACCGTGGGGAAGTGAGTCTTGTCTTGAGAGTCCTCTCAATGTGAGGTGTCGCGAGCGCTCAACCTTAAGAGTCAACATTCTTCCTGGGTGGCAAGCTGGTGGGAGACGGGCATCGCCTCTGAAGGGCCCTGGACGAAGCACTTGGGTCACGGTCACCATGCCAACCCGCTGGGACTAGTACACGCGTGCTTTGCCACAAGTCCTTGGTTCTGCTGCTGCGCAATAGAGGTCATGCAGGGCATGCCAACCCTTTGAACAAACGCTTACTAGACTGTCTCTAAATATTTCTGGCGGGGACTCGGTGTTGATTATGGCTGTGATCGTCGTCCTGTCTACGACGTTAAATAATTCCTGAGGAGTTACGAGAGATCTCCTTAAACCACCAGTACCTCTGCGAGTGTTGGGAAATTACGATGTCTTGGCCAGTACCCGAACTTTTCGGGGGTGGGACATAGGGTCGGCAATGTCCCATAAATCTGAATTTTATAGTGCCGTGAGTGAACGGAAAAAGGGGGAAAAAAAATGCTTTCTCTACTGCAATGATGTCGGGCTGGGTAATCCAGGAGGCCGTGCTCACAATCTTCCTCCACAGAATGCACCTCACAGGTAAGGCGGTCACATTCTGAATGTTACTGTTTTCTTTTTTTCTTGGTCGTGTGTTTCTTATGAGTCCCCTGCCTGTGAATTGCTCAAGCTGTCCGTGGTCTGCTCAAACTGTGTTTTGTCAGAGGATTGTAAGGCTCATCACACTGGCACTTAGGGGAATGTATCCAGCCATTTTCACGGCTTGATCCATGTGCCCATTTCCCCCCCCTTTTATTCTCTTTTTGGAATCTGACAACCTGGCCACGGGGCTGAGATGCCCTCATTGAGGGTAGACTCACACTACCACTTCTAAGAATGTATACAACTGCAATCACGGCCAAAGCTTTGTTTCCTTTTTTTTTTTTTTTTTTTTTTTYTGAGGTTCACGGCAGCAACTTTTYTTYTTCTTTTTTGTTTTGTTTTGTTCTGTTCTTTCCGTGAGAGTACCAGAAAGAAAACAGTGGTACCCAGGCTCGGCAAAACTCGAAGCGCAGTGAAATTCGGGGTCGGCAAAAACAGGCTCGGAGGTACTGGTGGTTTAAATGCCTCCTGATCAGCCAGATCAAGCCGGGTGTAAGGCTCGTTGCATGCGAGGATAAATAATGTGCATGGCTGGCAAGTTCGACGTTGACTTGGGGTACAGTGGTGGGCCGGATTGCACACCTTTAGACACGCTGCTCAACCTGATGTCGAGGAACGTCGACACAAAGTGACTACTCAAGAGGGATACAGGGAAAGGGTTGGATTCCGGTAACTGTTCGTGGTGGCATTAATCAGATAAACTGCCATCCAACATACATTTCTGCAGCGAGCATTATTTTTATTTT